CGGGACTAAAGATAGCGATCTTTAGTCCCGGATTGGTAGTCCCGGTACAAACGCTTTCTCCACTAGTGTTAGTTTTGCTCTTCCACTGATTATCTTAGATTGATTGATTGTATTCTAATCTAAACATACAAGGGTTGTAGTTCATAATCTGATCTGATCTAAATTCTATTAAGCAATAATTAATCATGTTAAATTCAAGATGTGGCATATTAATTGCTTCAGCACCTTCTCACTAGCTACATGGCTTACTGCTTCTCATAGCACTCTAGTTTGAAGTGAACGATTTCAGTGGTTTATAGCATAGTACGGTTAGGTGATCAAATCCTCGCACATTGCTGCTGTATCTTACTATTATGCCTTGCTTTTGACCAAATTTAAGTTATGAAGAATCCAGGATTTGTCGGCAATTTTTTCAAAGTTCATGATAGTAATGCCTATTTCTGAATTTTACCTGCTGATTAAAATAACCTTCCATTAGCCATAAGAGAGGACAACTGTGTTTCCTAGCTTTTCTGATGCTATGTTGGCTGGCATAGCTGCCAATGCTGCTGAGTTAGTTTTGTGCACACCATTTGAATTCAGGGATCAACCTCTAAACTCTGTGTAGATTTCAGGGATCAACCTCTAAACTCTGTGTAGAATCGCTGTGTGTGAAAGGCATGAATGCCTGACTACTTTTATCAGTCTTGCAAGTTGATCTGTACTAGCTGTAGGTTGTTCATCAGCAAATCATTACAAGATGTTGGATAAGCAAATATGCAGTTCAACATAGGGTAGTGAAGCAGAGGCAGGACCTGTCTGAAATGAGTGTATAACGGAAAAAGTTTCAGCTGTAAGCACAGTTCAAAGTCTTGGTTTCTTCCAAAGGTTACTGTAAAACACTAATTTACTTGAGAAGATTCTCAGCCTTGGATGGATATTATATGGCTAGTAAGTAGTAACAATGACCATGAAAGAACTAATTAATCAAAGTAGCAAGTCAATGTCCGAGAGCACTTGTGTGAAAGAACTGATCATCAGAGTAGCAATGCAGTCACAACAGGAGAACACTAATATTTCCAGGTATTAATAGGTACTCAAAAATTCTGTGGAAGACTGTAATTCATTTGCTATAACTTTCAAATGCTCATACTTGCTGGGTTCTCATACAAGCTTAGGTCATAACGTGGATTAGTGTGTCAGTGTCCAACAAAATTTGTGTGCCACACTTTGGTCAACCTAAAAGAGGCTTGGCAATCTCCGGCGAATACAGACCATCAACCGAAGTGTAGTGTAGCCACCGGGTTGGTCCGTCATCTGTAGAACTATCCATGATACTGAGATGGAGATCGAAAGATTGAGTAAATCTGTAGCCAAAGCAGACGACCACGTGCATACATTGGTCCTTGTCTTCCCGGTCCCTCAGTGATCTGTCAGGGAGACCGTAGTAGACTACATCACCAATACATGCACGGAATTCATGTCTGACGACCCACACCACGGCGATGACCGGACCATGCTCATAGATGAATTCTGCGACTTCTTTCATGCTCCAGCCTTCGTGTTCAATCCAATGTGGGATACGGCCGGTAATAGGCAGAATCAGGCCATTAGTTGTTGTCAGTCCTCCTGTTTTGCTGAGCACTTCAATTACTCTGATTGCTGGGATACCTTCATCAGGTTCTAAAAAGGAACTATCAAGACAGTCCTGCAGAAGTTTGTGTGGTGGCCTTTCGATGGTACATCTGAACCCATACTTGTGGAACTTAGCTTCGATGCAGAGAGCAACGGCAGAAACAGAGCATGTGTCTGAAAGAAAACACATGTGTTAGCTAAATTACCCAGTACCAATATGTCATACGAGTAGTTTTAGTCTGAAAGTAAAGGTATGTGTTGCCCTTTTTGTATCATTGCATATCACATATAAAATGATCATGAAAAGAAAAACTTAAAAGGATTGATAACATATGTTTAGTTGTGTGCGTAGACATGCAAGTTTGAATTTAATATATACATGCTGAAATTGAAATAAACAGTCTAACTATGATTAGTACTAGCACATATTACATACTTAGATTTTAGTTTATCTGTTTTATTCCTCAATTTTCAATTCAGAATTGAAATTTTGTGAGACGATGGGTAAGAACTATTCTACCAATAGTTTATTCATTTTTTAACTATTTAAATGATATTTGTGGGCTAGGGGAAAAAACAAGTGAGTGTGACCTATACAAAATAAAAATAGAGATGCCATACACAAGAAAAATAAAGACAAGATTACTTACTGCCAATTTGCTTGATAGGAGGGCCAAGAACATTGAGCCAAGAGTGCTCCACAGGCAGAGGCCACCCAACAGCTTTTAGAACACATTGCTTTATCTTGTCCCATAGACTAGGCCAATTAAGAAATGGTCTTGCAAGCCAATGCAATATCTTGTGCCAAAGAGTTGGGGCTGTAGGGCGTTCTGCTACCTCTCCAATTGCGCCGACATAAAGTCCAGATGGTACCATAAGTGCTGTAAGAACATAGAACTAGTCACAATTAATTTAGGTAGACATCCACGTGTTTATTTGTATGCCAACTAAATGGTAATAAAAAAACTTCATAAAATGATAAAAATATATTAATATATAATATGTCACTCCACAAATATACAAGTTTAAAATTTAAGTTCTACGAATTGTATCAAAAATAATAAATTAAACTCTAATTAGTATGTATATATGTGCAGTTATTTTTGTTACAACTTGTACAAATCGAATTTAAACTTGCATGTTTCTAAAGTGATATATTTCACATTAATCTATCTTGTTATATTTGTTAAATAAATTTTTCATAACCATTTAGTTAACGTACAATAAATGGGTGGACGCCCACTCACATGATTAGAATCCCTTTCCCCACATCATATTTCAAATTTAATTTTCTATGGCTTCATATTTTCCAGCAGTCTAAGTAAAATACTATAGTCTGTTATGACAAACATGTTGTCTCAAATGTTAAGTGAGAGCAATGAGCATAAAGAATCAGAGAACATATAGTAAAAAAAACAAAAACAATGATGACAGAATACAGATACAGCAACAGATGCAACTTCTTAACGTTGTATATATGAAGACAGTAGATCTGAAAATACTACTAATACGAAGGCAAGTCTTGTTGTAATCACAGGCCCGTTTGAGAAATGAGATGAGCTCGCAACTTCATGCTCAAGCGTCCACTCCGAGTCCTCCGGATCGACCAACGTCCACGAGCTCACCACCGGCGCGTCCGGGATGCCATGGATCTTCACGCGCACCGTGGCGAAGAGCCAGCGGTGGTGCTTCTCGTCGTCGCCGACCATGACGCAGCCTTGGGGAAGCTCGACGTAGCGCAGGCGGCGGAGCTCGTCGGCGAAGGGGACGCAGCTGGTGAGGAAGCCGTAGGGGAGATCCGCGCAACAGAGCACGCCGCCGTGGCAACCCCCCATCGCGCGCTGGTGGTGCGGGCACTCCTTGACGTCCCACTTGTTGTCCCGCGCTGGGTAGTCGACGACGGTCTCGTGCTGCTGGGTGGTGGTCGTCGACGTTGGGTGGAGCTGCGCCTGCGCGACCAGGCAGTAGCCGCGGTGGCGAGAGTCCTCCACGCTTCGCCGCCGCGGGAAGTTGAGGTGGTCGAGGGAGCCGGAGGGAGGCGGCGGGGTGGCGACACGGGTGCGCGCGTCGCAGTCGCAGCAGATGTAGTAGGCGCCGTTGAGGCCGTACCACCCGTCGGTGGCGCGGAGGAGGAAGCGGCCGGAGGGGAGGGCGTCGTCGACGATGACGTAGGGGACGCAGCTTGACTTGCCGGAGTCGGGGTGAAGGCGCCGGGGCGCGGTGAGCACGGTGGCGCGCGGGCGCGGCGGGCACACGAACAGCAGAGGCAGGTGCTTCTTCTCGTCGCCGATCACCCACGGCGAGCAGGAGCAGCACCGCACCGGCGCCGCCTCCAGATTGTTTCCCTCCTTCGCCTGACCACGCCACGGCGACGCCCCTTCGTCCATGGCCATCGGCTTCTTCCCCAGATCACGCTCACGCGACGGCTCCCCCTCGTCGCCCATCGCCGCCGCCCGGATCACGCACGACGCCGAGAGAGAGAGAGAGAGAGAGAGAGAGAGAGAGAGAGAGAGAGATCAAGTGGTGGTGGTGGTGGAGAGCGAGGAGATGGGAATGGATTTTGGTTTGGTTGATTTGGCACTTAAACCTTGTGCGGGGTTTAGGGGGGAGGAGCTCTTATATTCTGAAAGCGATGGCGGTTGCGTGTTGAGATTTTGGACCTCGCCGATGTTGGAGTAGCGCGCAAGTTGCCGGCGGCGTCCGCATCGACGGCGTGGTTAGAGAGCTCGCAAGCGGAGGCAGGCGAGGTGTTCAGTGCATGCGAAGAGTGTAGAAACTTCCATCGCCAACGGGGCCTGCCTGCCGGGGCCCACTGGCTCCAACCTGGCACTCGCATTCGAGCGCCGCAGATCGCCCACCCCACAGCGGATCTGGGCCGTCCGTGGCCGGCGTTGCTAATGATGCACGAATTCAAACTAGGATTATGTTAGTATGAGTTTTGACCATGGCCATATCCTTCATTTCTTAGCTGTTCAGAAATAATGAAAAGATTTTACTAAGCTTTGTTCCAAGCGTCAGCAAAAACAACAAGTCAGAGATCACCTAATTGAAGAATGTAAACAGGGTGCAGAGCCATTGCTCAAAACTGACGGGCAAAGTAGTAAAAATAATCATCATTTCAAATGCGCCCAAGAAAATATCAGAGAGCACAACTGCACAAGTAAAATTTGATGGTAAAAAACAACTCTGTCATGAAGTCTGATTAGTATAGTACTATGTGCTATGCACTACATATACTTTCAAGGATAGCCAAATCTGTCATGGCTTAACAATCCATCAGAAATTTTTTCCCATGAAGCTCTAAATATGGTGCAATGTAGTCAGGGCATCCAAAAAAATAAAGAACATTGGATGAAGTAATCCCATCAACCAGGGGCGGGCCCACTATGTATTCATGGGTATTCAGATGTATACCCAAGATTTTTGGAAAAAAAATAGGTATATATACTATATAGTTCATATAGGTATTAAAAAAATAAAAAGAAAGCTTAAACTGCTTATATTGGGCCTTGTTTCCCCATTTCTTCTCTATTGGGCCTAAATTTTTCACTCCCCTCCCTCTTTCCTCTCTACCTGTGGTCTAATTGGGCCACATATCAGCCCATTTGCAATTTTCCCCCAATTCCCCACCCGCCTGGCGCCTTGGCCACCCAAACCTGCAAACCCTAGACCACAACACAGCAGTACAGCACGGCGACGGGAGGAGGCGTGCGGCGGCGTGACGTGCGGCGGCCGGCGGGGGCTGCGTGCAGCGTGCGGCGGCCGGCGGCGGGAGCCGTGGCGGCGTGCGGCGCGGCCGTGGCGTGCAGCAGCGTGCGGCGCGGCCGCGGCGTGCAACGGCGCGGGCGCGGCGCCGGCGCGGCGGCGGCGACGGCGACCGGTGAGGCGGTGAGCCGCCAAGGCCAAGGCGCCAAGCCCGTGACCGGCAGGCGCACCGTGACCGACGGGCGACGGCGTGCCGCGTGCGGCAGCCGGCGCGGCAGCCTGCAGGGGCCCAGGAGGCAGCCAGGCAGGAGGCTGCTCCAGGCCGTCAGCCGAGCAGGAGCAGGCGCTGCACAGCTGCAGCCTGCAGGTCGGCGTCCGCCGTTCCACGCTGAGGCCCGAGGCAGCCGGCGGCTGCGCGCTGCCGCTGCGGCCGTGCGGCATCCTGCTCGCCGGCGACTGCCTGACCTGCAAATTCCGGACAAGCACATTAGCACAGTGAGTGACTAAACTCCGGACAACGGGACAAGCACAAAAATTCATTGATTTAGACATTTAGTATTTTAGTGTAGTTGCTTGCTTGCTTGCTTGCTTGATTTAGACATTTAGTTTGTAGGATTGTAGTTGACTAGTTGCCTATTTGAGTATTTGAGTAATTGAGTATATTGGACACTGGACAGTAGTTCATAGTTCATACCATATTAGCAAATTTGTAGTATTTTAATGATTGTTTGGTTACATTCATTGAAAGAGAATTCTTTTTGCAAGCTAAGGACAAGGACATCATCAATTATTTCCAAAATATCAAGCGTCGAAAAGTTAATATCTAAATTGTAAGTTTTCTTCCTAACTTATTATTTTCTATCATTTTTGTATTCCATATTTTGACACTTTGATATGTTTGGTATTAGTATTTCTATAAGTTAAACAATTTCTAGTGATGATCAATTCTATCACTGTGTGAACTAATGATCAATTTTATGTTCTATACGCTCTAAATTATAATTATTAGTGTATCATAATATACAAGCCCATTTTTTGGCTTTTTGGTGTATGGACATTTTTTTACCCCTTCCCATTTCGAATACCCAAGTTTAAAAAGCTGGGCCCGCCACTGCCATCAACCTATGATTTATATTGTTGTAATTCGCTTGCTCAACGCATGCATGTTCCATCAAATTTGGCGACTCAGTTGCAGTTAAGACGATTCACAGGGGTAATATCCACACAAAATTCAGGCAAGGTTATGCAGTTCCTTACAAGGATCTAGGTGCCTGAGGCTGAAATTAATCTGCGCACGAATCGGGACGTACGAGTGGTGACCCATCGGTGGCCGCGCTGGCAGGCGACGGTGGCGGCGGCATGGCCCAGCAACCGCGCGCTCTATGTGCGGTCCGTCGGCGAGGAGGTCGAGGACGAACACTTCCGCACCATATCTTTCTTCCCCCCGCCGACGTGCCTCGCCAGCAGCGCCCAAACTTGCGCGAGGGGAACAGCAAAGACGTCCACGGCCACCAGGAGGAACTTCGGCAGACGGCCGTTCCAGACTTCCCCTACCCGGCGGCGTCGAGGGCACGGACGCGGCGACGGAAGATAGCGCGAGTCCGGGCGAAGACATGCCGCAGGCGACGAGATGCTCGGCGAACGCGACGTAGATGGCGATAGAGCGGTGGCCGGTGGCTGTGGCGCGGGTGCCGCGTTCTGAGCAACGGCGAGCGAACATGACGTGGCTCTGGCTCTGACGTATGCCGCGGAGGAGGACGGCCGCCGATGCGTCTCCTGGCGACGCTGAGGAGGTCGATCGAGGCTACCGACGGGCACGGGCTTGTGGCTACGTACGTCTCCTGGTGGCGCTGTTGGCCAATGGCCAGGCGCGGAGGGAGCTCGCCGCCGCCGATGGGCTCTGAACCTCCGACTGACTTGAGGCATGTGGACGAGTCTACTGGTGGCGAGGATGAGGAGGCCGCCGCCAATACATCTCTGCCGATCTGGCCTCCCATACAACCTGTCGCAGCTGAGCCCAAACGTCGACGAGGAGCGCCTCGCCACCATCGCGCGCGCCGGGGGGGTGGGGGGGGGGGGGGGGCACACCATCTGGACAAACTTGCGGCGGAGAGCCCCCCATCCACTCGCCGTCGACGTCGAGGGCAACGACGCGCGCGGACCGCGGACGCGGCTTGTGGCGACTGGCGAGCGAACAGCCGCCCGCCGCCGCCGGAGACGACGTGCTCGTAGAGCGGTGAGCCGATGACAATGGCGCTTGCGCTGTGTCCTGAGGCGCGGGGAGCACGATGACGCTTTCGCCCTCGGCCGGCAGCGAACGGAGTTGACGAAGAAGGCGGTGGCGTGGTGGTGGTGCACTGGTGCGCGAGAGGATGGCAATATGTTTACTACTCCTACTCTCCTAGTCTCCTGTGCCTTTGTGCTGTGGGGCGGTGGCGATATAACAGGTCCTTCAACTGTCAAAACCAGTGCAGACAAGGCCACTTAGTAGATTGGATGACGGTTTTGGCTGACATGACCACCATGTGGCTGGTTTGACTAGGTATTTGTCCTACGTGGCAGTTTGATCAAAAAAATAAAAATTATGGGGGGAAAACATGTCACGTAAATTATAAAATAATTAAATAATGGTGGGCCCACATGTCAGTGATACAACATCATCTTCGTCCTCTCTCACCCTTTCCTCCTCTTCCCAATCTTTGTCCAGGTCTCCAACGAGGCAACGGCCGCTGTCCGGTGGGGGAGGAGCTAGGCGACAGTCGCAACATTACCGAGCTCAACCGCCACGGGACCTCCGTTCCCGCCTCGCCGCTATGGGCTTCCTCTGTCCCCGCGCATTCGTCCTCCGTGGAGTCGCCTCGGAGTCACCTCGAAGCCGCTGTCTTACTCCTCTCCCATGCTTGGAGGCTACGACAAGCGCAGTGGAGGTGGTGTCGGCAACAACGGATTTGGACTTGGAGGAGCTTGTCAGCCTCCCTGCCTCCTCCATCTCCGCGCGGTGGAGCTGGTGTTAGCGACGACAGATTTGGACTTGGATGAGCTCGTCGGCCTCTCCGTCCCGCTCACTGGCCCTCCCTACCTTCTGCCTCTCCACACACACTCGCGGGCCTCCCCGCCCCCTAGCTGGACGACCCCAGTGCTTCCTCTCCGCGCGCTCTTCGGCCTCCCCGTCCCCTCGCCAGCCTACTCGTTCCACTCGTCAGCCTCCCCACGACCTCCCTCTCCATGAACGCTCGCCGCCCTCCCCTCCCGATGGCTACTGTTCCCTGGGGTCCTTCTCCCCGCCGTCCGGCGGCCGCCGCCCTTCTCCCTCTCCGTGTGTGCTCACCGACGAGCGAGGGGGCTCGAGGAGGAAGAATGGCCGGGAGGGAGAAGGGAGAAGGAGCACACTGTCGTCCGTGGAGATAGAGAGGAGGGTGGGACCCACTAACATGTGGATCCCACTTTTTTTCTTTTGCTGGACCCACATGTGGGCCCTACATTTTTGTTTAATTTTTACTTTTTTTGTATTTTGCTTCATGTGCCACATCACCGCCACATAGGACGAGGACCAAGTCAAACCAGCCACGTAGGTGCTACGTCAACCAAAACCGCCATCTAAGCTCTCGAGGGACCTCGTCCACACTGATTTTGATAGTTGAGGGACCCGTTGTATCTGGTATTGTGTTTTAGTGACAAAATTGAAATGGAATTAAAGTTAAGGGTGTGTTTGGATAATGGGAAATGAGGGGTGGGATTGGGATTGGGAAATGAATGAATAGTTAGGATTAAATGGAAGGGGGAGAATGAATGATTAGAATTTAAATATGTCTTTTGATGGGTGGGAAATCATTTCCCTATCCCATTTGCCAAACATGGCCTAAGGGATATCAAATGAACTTATTCTAAAGGAAAATAAACCAGGCCTAGTTAGACTGTGGGCCGGTAGCTTGAAGTAAAAGAAAAGGGAGGACATCTGGGCTGTATTAGCGCTGTAGGTAAAGAAAGAGCCCATGTGCTGTATTTTCATGTTTGGACTCAGAATATTTGTACGAAATCTAGGGAGGTTGTTAGATAGGGCAGTATTTTTGAGGTTTTGAGTTGACTTCTCATTTGGAAAATTGTGAGGAATTTTCAAGGGAGGGATATGAAGCTGGATCCAATCATTTGAACTGTATATATATGTCTAACTAGCAAGGTGGCTCGCGTAGATTACGCGGCTAGCATTATTATATTTTCTGAACTAGAAAAAATACCCACGCGTTGTAACAGGTGAAGGCTATTTTAATATTGTTAAAGGCTATTTTAATATTATTATTGTTCACTGTGAAAATTCAGTTGGATATATATTTTCTAGAAAATCACATCAAGTTAGTATGCGGGCTTTTTTAAAATAAATTTCTTATATGGCTATTTTTTAATTCCAAAAGCGAACAAACTTAAAACCCGACTCAAATACGGATATGTATTTCTCCAAAAGCAAACGGACTTAAAAACCGACTCGTACACAGATAGTAACAAAGTACAGGCAAAAACATCTTTAATTTTTATAATAGTAGAGATTTTGAAAATGTCTAATTGTATTTATATCTAAACTCTAAACTCATCTTTCGATATTCTTTATTTAGGATGACTTACCAAAGTACCGGTAAAAACATCTTTAATTTTTATAATAGTAGAGATTTTGAAAATGTCTAATTGTATTTATATCTAAACTCTAAACTCATCTTTCAATATTCTTTATTTTTTTTCATTTCAAATTTCAATTACTTCTAAATTAAATTGTATTTCTATATGGACTCTTGATACTTCATCTTTTTTTTTAATTTCGAGTTTTAGTTCATTGTAAATTGTATTTCTATATGGACTCTAAACTCTACTTTTAATTTTATTATTTTTATTCTGAATTTTAGTTCATTCTAAATTCCTATATGGTCTCTATACTATTATTCTAATATTTATTATTTTTTAATTGTATTTCTATATGGACTCTATACTCTTCTTCTAATATTCTTTATTTTTTAATTCCGAATTTTAGTTACTTCTAAATTGTATTTCTACGTGGACTCTAAACTCTTCTTTCATTAATCTTTTTTTAATTCTGAATTCTAGTTATTTATAAATTGTATTTTTAATTCCTTATTTTTTAATTCCGAATTTTAGCTATATTAAATTGTATTTTTTTATGAACTCTATTTTTCTTTTTCTCCATATGAGAATTTTTAGACCGTGAGAACAAACGTGGAGGCTCTTTTTTCTATTACTTTAATAAGTTAATAGATTATTAATTTGCATCTACCAATAGTGTATCTGTACTTACATTGAAGCAATGAATCGTACTAAAACTCATGATAGCCCTAGAGTTAAACTAGCGGGTGAATAGCTAATTTAGTCCCTCAAGTTTTACCGAAGGCTCAATTTGATCCTTCACGTTTCATTTTATCCACATAACTCCTCTAAATATTTGTTTTGGTTTGAAATCATCCTTGGGCCCACTTAATATGCCATATGGCTATTTCTAGTTAATATTTCTATTAGAAAATATCCCTTTTGCCCTTAATTTGTATATAACTATATACTAGAAAACAAAAAACCAAGATGAATAAACAACATTATAGATGTACTTCCCATTATTTCAATATGTGCACATGAAACTTAAGCAATTGCTACCGTATACATTTTCTAGTACATAATTTATTTTCGTTTTACATAATTTACTATGCATTATCTATAAAAAAAATCAAGCATGCAATTTTTCTCTTATATATGTGATTGATGAGGGTATAAGTGTAATTTATCAAGAGAGTTGTTGGTTCAAGGATAAGTTTGAACTAAAACAAACTTGAAGGACTAATACAGATAGATTGAAACATCAAAGACTAAACTGAGCCTTAGATAAAACTTGAAGGACCACTTTGGCTATTCACACTAAACTAGCTATATCCACACAACAGTGACAACACATCTCTCGATGAGAAGAAAAGCCAAAGTGATCAGTCAAAAAGCACAAAAGCTCTGAGAAATATTGTGAAAGTAGAAGTGCATATGCGCTGCTTGCAAGTGCCGAATAACTCCTTTCATCCGAGAAGAATATGCCCGCTCTTTAGCTTTTGTTTGTCCATGCATCCATGAAGTACTGATTTTTATCAAAGCTAATGAAATGATTGATGAAATTCGATGAATGTAGGACAATCACATTAATGGATCGTACGTACTGGATGCAGCTCATCTGACGTAAGAGGGATGTGAGTCATTCACAGGCGAGGCTCACTCTCATAGACCCACATGTCAGTGACACACGTCTCTTTAATGTCGGATATCCTGTTAGGAGGCGAACCGGAACTAAAGATGATGGTGTGATCCCTTCGTCCCGTTGAAGTAATAAACCGGGACTAATAAGCCACTTTAGTCCCGGTTCGTTTTGAAACCGGGACTATTGTGGAAATCGGCCAACCCTTCAAAGACCTCTTCTCCAGTAGTGGATGAGTCTTACTCATCTCTTAAACTTGTATGCTAATTATGGCAGTATTGAGAAAGCTCTTTCTTAAAGGAGTTCAGTTTGTACCTTTAATCAAGTGCATATGGTAGTGTCATTTTTCATAAAGAAAAAAAGAGAGAGAGAACTTTACGTTCCAAAGTCCTTGATTAGTTCACTGCTATAGGGGTTGAACTGAATATGGTTACATATCTGTTTGTACGAATATGATCATAGACACATGTAAGCCGTCTATGATACACAAAATGGTATGTGGTTCACAAAACATGTACAGCAGAATTACCAAACGTAATAATGTCTTGTGATAGACGGTCGCTAGCTGCAAAATCACTTTAGGACTAGGTGGAACATCTGAACAAGCTACCTTTTGATGTGAGCTAGCACCCTAAACTATTGAACTAGATATTTAACACCTTAATTTTTTCCTTCCTTCAAATAACCCAGGCCCCAACAGGTTTTGCTGAGTGGCTGATCTGATCAATTGGGAAATGCATGCATGTACATGCTAGCTAGTGTAGGGCTATCTCGATTTCTACAGGTGGTTCCTTAGAACATCCGCCTATGTAAATCCTATTAACATGAACGGTAGCTTAGGAGCGTCACTTGTGAAAATCCCTGTGTATATAGATGTGGCCATCCCTGATAATATGTTTATACATGCGTTTCTTGACCCATTTTCTCTTATGACACTACTACAGAAATGCCATCAGTGCCGGTTGGGAAATAATCCCCATAGTTGCAGATTTTCCCAACTGGCACCAAGATGATGACACTGATGACCCCATGTCATGTCGGTTCAAAAACGATACCTTTGATACGTACACGAGCCAAAGAAACCGGCTTGATGCATTGAGCCATCAAGCCGATCCCAAATCATACCCAAAATCGCAAAATGATGCCTCAAATCCATGAACACATTAATAATCCCTAGAAAAACAACACATCTAGATCAAATCCGAGATAATCAAATATGAATAAATATCAACAATAAGGAATCAAACATGAACAAACATCTAGATCCGCTAGCTAGCCACCGACGCCGTCACACCTCTAGCCGATGGCCACACCTTCACACCGACGGTCGTCACCACGCAGCTGGATCTGCGTCGCACTTCCAGCCAGTGGCCCCACGCCACTGGATCCACGTTGCTGAGGGGCGAGCACCGCCACGCCCCCAGAGCCTGCGCAGTCGAGAGGTGTGGGCCACCGCTTACCACCGAGAGAAAGAGAGCAAGAGAGAGAGACGGGCTCAAGAGCGAGAGAGATGCGAAAAGATAAGGTTGGGGGAGAGAGAGACGGCGCGGCTAAAAATATCTCTCCATCCCTCGTGCGGCTTAGCTCTTTTTTTTCCGAATTTTTTTCAAAAAGCCGACACCCAGAATATATTTTAGGTGTTGGTTTTTAATTAACCGACACTTATAAAATGTAATAAGTATTGATTTTTTATTTTTAGCCTGTGGATGTAGGGAAAACACTAAAAATAACGATTTTAACTATTCTGGCACATATAGTGCCGACCTGTATATGTCTTTCTGTATTAGTGTGAATGCAGTGCAGACTGTTTTTTTTTTTTTGCTGCTTGTGTAGTTCTTGAGTACATATTTCACAAAATTTTTTGAATGAGATAAACGGTCAAACATTTACTAAAAAGTCAATGGCGTTAAATATTTAGAAACGAATGGAGTATTTAACACCAAGGTTCCTCTTTAGTCGTTGTATGCATGACTTCTTTTTATCAGCTGTCCGATCTATATAAACTCGATCCCTAGGCTGCTGCGGTGCTGCGGATCAGTGTGGCCAAGCAGAAGCAGCACACACGAACACTCGAAACACCGCTCCTGCTTCAAATTCGCATGGCTCCGAGAGGCAGCTACTGCAGGCGGGTGATGGGCGTGGCCGTCGCCGTGGCGGCTTGCGCGCTGTGCCTCCTGCCGGCGACGACCAGCGGCGCGCTCCGCGTCGGGTTCTACCAGAGCAGCTGCCCCAACGCCGAGGCGCTCGTCCGCCAGGCCGTCGCCGCGGCCTTCGCCAGGGACGCCGGCGTCGCCGCCGGCCTCATCCGCCTCCACTTCCACGACTGCTTCGTCAGGGTACCTACTACTGAAACCCAGCTAGTGCATATAGTAGTATAATGCAGAAATTATTGACCACCATCTCCATGAATATCTGTTTGTATAATGTTTATAGAAGCACATGCATATACGTATATGCCTGCAAAATGTCTGGCTTGCAAACGGGAAATAATCGACTTATGTTTGATGTGCTTAACTTTTTTCTTAAGACAATGTTTAACTAAACACTTGAGAACAGCTAGCCCAGATTTTCCCAGTTGGGGAACCAAAATAAAACACTTATTTTGTTAATGATGATTAGTTTATCTACTTTTCACAAATTAATCCTGAAGATTTGAATTTTCTAATATGTTGGCGATCTGCATATTTGCCACATTATTAGAAACTGGATCGAGTAAACATCTACCCAACTAAACTTATTCAGGTCTATGCTCCATCTATGCATAGCTCATAAAAATACTTAAATTGGAAAAGAACTCAACAATTTTTCAAAATAGTTCTTTGCAAGTTAGTTTCCATGAATCCTTACATGTGTGAGGATCAATATATGCACGGTGAAAATGGACTTGTAGGGGGCTTTTGACATCTCTCTCTAAATCTGTAATTGTCGTTTGTGTTGCTTTTCAATTAGTTTTACTAATTAATATCATGTCTGCCTTGGGCCTTGGCTAGCTTATTTTTATGCTTCTCCGTTGCTAACTTGAGCTTAATTACCTCTTTTCAACCATGCATCCCTCAAGCGATCTACCAGCAGTATTGATTTTTTTCATTTACTTTTCGTCCCCAGAATGCATGAATTAAGCTATTAATTTAAGACTAAGACCACCAGCAAATATTCAAGTACTAGTATTTAGATTTTCCATAGAAAAGATATATTTGTCATCACACCAAATTAAATTAAGAACTACACGCAAAAAAAAAGAACTTTGATTCCATTGTATATTTAACAAAATCTATCGATATACTTTTGAAAAAGATAATGCTCAAACATGTGTCTAAAAATGAAGACATTAAAGAACAATTAAAGAGACCCTGGTCATGCTTAATGAAAACCAAAAAAAGGTAGAGTTGTCTCTGAAGACAAAGGGAACAAAGTAAAAAGCCATAAAAGAAAAGCTACCAAAATCAGAAAGCATAAGTGTATATAGTTACAGAATCAAAGCAGCTTTCTTTCTTTCAAGGGAACCGCATATACCCTGCTTGCAATGGGTGACAAACAAAAAGCCTCCCAGGCTCCCATTTGGCGAATCTCAGTATGTTCCTTTCGTTTCCTCAATCCCCATTGATCCTTCATTTTTTCAGGTGTCGTATTAACATCCAGTACTGCTTGACACTGGCAGTCGTAAATATGTACTCCTTAGTTTGATAGTATCAAAAATGGTATTTAACTCGTTGAATATCATATTTTGATGGAACAATAAGGTGTGATTTAGTTCAAGTCTTCAAGAGTATAATAAGGATGTGTTCGTTTGGCGACAGGAATGCTCCCTCTCGGCACACAAAATAGAGCGGCGAAATAGCGCATGATTAATTAAATATTTACATAAACAAACTTAAAAAATAAATTAATATGATTTTTAAGCAACTTTTCTATAGAGAAAAGTTTTTGCGAAAACCGTTGAGCAGTCTAGAAAGTAGAAAGTATATGCACCGAAAATGAGGAGACAGAAGAAGTTGAGAAAATGTGGTATAGACTACAACTTAAGATGTACTTTAGTCTATGTAGAGCTAGGCAACATATATATGACACAATAGGAGGTTAATGGCCGGAGTTTACAGCACGTGTATGTAGAGGAGTAATGTAGTTGACTATGTCACTAGGAGGTGGAAGAAGGGACGTGACATTGGATCTAACGATGCGAAACATGGACGGAGTCACAAATCAGGTTGGAGGAGCTTCTCGCTGAAACCAGAAATAAGCTAGGAGGTGGAGGAAGGGGTTGGTATGTTGTCCTTAATAAGAGCTAAAATCGATTGATTATTTGTTTTTTACAGCTATTTAAGGTTATAAACAAATAAATTAGCTATTAAAAAGTTGGAAAAATATTTTATAAATTTTCTAGTAGAAGATCGAGTAGGATAGAGGTGAAATGAATCTTCTAGTAATAATGCCTCAAAAAATTCTAGTCGACCTCACACAATAAAACAATAAGCATGTTAGTTAAACTGAGCATTACTAAAAACATATTAATTTGTTTGTTTGGATTACAATAAAGACGTAGACATGTACACATAGCTATATTAGTTAAACCGGGTGTCATCAATTTACCTGTTGATTTGAATATATAGTTGTAAGCTTCTTCAGTACTCCCTCATTCCATAATATGTACTCCCTTCATTCCATAATATAAGGTATAGTCAAACTTGGCACAGTCTATAATTTCTCATATACTATAAGGTTTAAACAAAATTATAACCATCTTAAAGTAAATTTAAATGTCAATCTAATGATATTAATTTTAGCAAATAAAATTTAATTTATATTATAATAATTGTTGGTCAAATGTTTTTATTTATGAATTTTGGAATATGTGCACACCTTATATTATGGGATAGATGGATTATATTTTTTAAAATACTTCAGTAATCAGTCAGTGCTAGAATTTACACAAGCATGTACTACCTACATACTCTCTCCGTCCCATAAAAAATTAACCTAATATTGGATGTGACACATCCTAATACAATGAATTTAGACATTGTACTAGATTCACTTTTTTCTGGGACGGATGGAGTACAAGATGAAACATTTTGAGTTACCTTTTTTTTTTCTTTTTTCTGAAAGAAATTCCTTCCTGTTACTGCAATGCAGGGGTGTGATGCATCCGTCCTCCTGACCAAGAACCCCGCCGGTGGCCAGACGGAGCGCGACGCGACGCCGAACAACCCGAGCCTCCGGGGCTTCGAGGTGATCGACGCCGCCAAGGCCGCCGTCGAGGCGGCGTGCCCGCGCACCGTCTCCTGCGCCGACATCATCGCGTTCGCCGCCCGCGACAGCGTCAAGCTAACCGGCAACGTCGACTACCAGGTCCCCGCCGGCCGCCGCGACGGCAGCGTGTCCAACGGCACCGAGGCCCTCCACAACCTGCCCCCGCCCAACGCCACGGCGCAGCAGCTCGCCGACACGTTCTTCGCCAACAAGTTCCTCACCCTCGAAGACATGGTCGTCCTCTCCGGCGCCCACACCGTCGGCCGCTCCTTCTGCGCCTCCTTCTTCAACCGCGTCTGGAACGGCAACACCCCCATAGTACGTCGCCTCGCCGCGCCGCCGTCGTCCATGGCGCCCCCCATGCTTTTTCGCAGTTACGCGGTGTGACGGTGCGTGCGCGTGTGTGTGCAGGTGGACGCCGGGCTGGACCCGGCGTACGCGGCGCAGCTGCGGGCGCTGTGCCCCACAAGGGACACGCTGGCGACGACGCCGATGGACCCGGACACGCCGGCGACGCTGGACAACAACTACTACAAGCTGCTGCCGCAGGGGAAGGGGCTCTTCTTCTCCGACAACCAGCTGCGGGTGAACGCCACCATGAACGCGCTGGTGACCCGGTTCGCGGCGAACGAGGCGGAGTGGAAGCAGCGGTTCGCCGACGCCATGGTGAAGATGGGCCACATCGAGGTGCAGACCGGGCGGTGCGGCCAGATCAGGGTCAACTGCAACGTCGTCAACCCGTCGACCTCCTCGCCGGAGGTCGAGCTGGCCGGCGAGGATCAGGAGACCGGAGGCGCCGTCGCGGCAAGCTAGCTAGCTAACCAATCTAATCATGCATGTCGGCCGTTGGATGCGAGTGATTTCCTTTAATTTCCTTTTTTTGACGTGCACGAACATTTAATTTGCGTGTACTAGTGTCGTCGTGTCGTGTCGATCGATCTTTCGTACGTGCATTTGCTCTTGGAATGTTTTAGGTCGGATTCCAGTGATGAAGAATAAGTACTACGTATGTACACGTACCATGTGTGTTTTATTAATCGTGCTACTAATATATTCGCTACTCCACAAAATATGTCTTATTTCACGTGCGGTCCATTTAAGAGGACCGCACGTGAAAATGAGCCTACTTTCACGTACGAACCTACTAAGAGGACAGAATGGAAAAATACCCACTCCTCTTTCCCTACTACCCACTTTAAATTTTTCCCACTTTCTCTACTCTCCTCTCTTCTCTTTTTCTCCTCTCCTTCCTCCCGTACACTTTCTCCACTTCCTTCCCTCCCGTCCTCTCCTCTCCTCTCCTCCCCTCCCCTTCCTTCCCTCCCCGACGGCGGCAACGGGGGTAGGCGGCGACGGCGGCAACAGCGGCGCGGCAACGGTGCATGGGATCCGGCGGGCAGTGGCCAAGCCCCGCACGGATCCGGTGGCCGGCCGGCCGCCCTCCCCTTAGGATCCCGCTCCCCTCCCCTCCCCTTCCTTCCCTCCCTAGATCCGGCAGAAGGGAGGGGCGGCGGCGGCGGTGTGGCCGGAGGGGAGCATGGAGGCCGGCGGCGGGCGGCACGGAGGCCGGCGGGAGGGCGTATCCATCAGCCGGCTGCGCGGAAGCCGCCACCGAGGGCGGGAACCGAGTGGAGCTGCATCCTCGGCCACCGCGAGGAGGCCGGATCCGTCGCCGGCGACCGCGGAGAGGCCGGATCCGTTGCCGGCGACGCGGAGACGATGGCGGCGGGCCTCGGGCAAGACGGCGACGACGACGGGGGTGACAGCGTTTTTATTTTTTTATTTTTTGTTTCGATTTTTTATTTTTCCCGTGCGGGCGGCTTAAGCGCCCGCAGCAAAATCACGATTTTGGCAGACACCTCGTTCTAGACAGGTGGAAGATCTGCACGCAAAAACCAATTCCAACCGCATGGAAAAATTGTTAGTCTACTAGTGATTGTCGTACTTTTTGCAAAATCAACAACAAGAAGTCCATGATTAAATCTTGACCGTTGGATATCGATCGTTCCCAAATTAGTTGGGCCATAACGGGGTTGTGATGGACGTTATATTTAGACTAGTTTGTTATGATGTCACGGTGGATTTGGAGCAAGACTTCACGCGAATGAAGAACGAACAGGGCAGAGGTAGAAGAAGAAGTGGTATGGAAGAGGGGAAAGATTGTATTGAGAGAGGTAATGTGTTTTGGTTTATTACAATTCATGCCCTCTCCCTATGTTTCTGTGGTGTACTTATAGCCTAGCACCCGGTCACAACCCAAACCCACTCTGGCCCATCAACTCGTGGGTTGAGCCGTATCACTCTCTTCAGTCGCACCTTGGGTTTGATGGGATTGACTTGATCCACAGTGGCGGTAGGAGAGCTGATCATAACATCCCCTCCCCTTTATAAGCAGCTTGTCCCCAAGCCGGAGCTGCTGGGAAAACGGGCATGCAACGCCACCACATCTTCCCAGGTTGTTTCGGTCGACAAAGAACTAGAAACAACTCACTTGAGTTGTTCTGGCGCAGCTGCTCCCTTTTTTGTTGCATCGACGTCGTAGCAAGACCTGCATTGGGACCAGTTCCTCCAAGTGCCCAGCTACTGGTAGACTTGCCAAAGCAGGGGAAGTAGACGGTGTGGCCTTGCTTAGCTAAGAGGTATGCACCATGGGGTGGATAGCGCAATCGACCGGCAACTCCAGGCAATATTCCACTGATCCTATATTCTCCCGCACATGAAAGGGACAGAAATGGTAGAAAACTTGTGATTAGTGCGCACCGCCATCGATGTCTGTCCAAAAGGTACAGAGCGCCAATCGCCAAACACCCCTAATCCCTAGGCAAAAACTCACGCTGAGAGCACTTGAGGTCAGGTTGATGTTTCATTCTCTATTGTGCCCGATGCAGGTGTTTACGCAATAGACTGGACACCACCTTGCATTCCTTCATCCACTCCTCTAGATCTGACATCGTACATGAAAAAATATCCCGAATACCAAAGTAGCATGAGGAATGCCCATATAAGACCATAAAGGGAGAAGAGCCCAATGCCCAATGATTTGTTGTGTGTACCAAAACTCCGTCAAAGCTATCCGGCGATACCATCTTTTTGGGCAAGCATGCACAAATGCTGTTGATTTACCCATTCCATTTGACCATCAGTTTGAGGATGGTACACTAAAATCATCCGCAGTTGTGTATCCGCCAAATGGAATAGCTCAGTCCACAACATACTGGTAATATACGATCTTGATCCAAGATAAGCCATGCAGCTTATATACATTGTTGAGATAAGCCATAACAAAGTCGAGTGCGGTAAAAAGGGTGAGCTAAGGAGATAAAGTGAGCATACCGAGAAAAACTTATCCACCACCACCAAAATAAAATCATATCCTGATGACAATAGCAGTCCTTCAATAAAGTCCAATGAAACAATCTGCCAGGCGTGATCAGGAATAGGCAAGAGTTGCAATAATCCAGGGTAACACACTCTTTTAGCTTCCGCATGTTTGCATATAGCACAATCCTCCACAAACTCACAAATAGATAGTTTCAATCCTAGCCAAGCGAATAACTTGCGCACTCGGCTATAAGTAACTTGTATCCCTGAATGACCAATTGCGCCTGTATGGGTACATCTTAGTGCTATCGGAGTATCTCATCTTGGCGGCCACGCTGCTCTGGGAGGTGGCGGCTCAGTCAGCGAAAACCCTAGCCGCCACCACCCCGTCTCCTCTACCTCTCCGCCTCACTATCACCTTAGCGTGCGGCCTCCTTGCGATGTTGTTTGGCTGGCGGTGTGCTTGGTGATAGGGAGGACTGGATCCATAACCACGTGTCTAGATCCAGCCGGATTCATTGCCGGCACCCATGTATCTAGACGATGGTAGGCCATGACATGGCCGCGAAGTGGCACAGGGCAGCGGCAAGGGTCGCACGGTGGCCCAAGCGGCCGCTGTGGGCTAGTGGCACGAGGAGAAGTAGTAGCGGCCAGTGGTAGATCTCAAGTAATTGGCAGTGCGAGCGGGCAAGTGGCAATGACACATTGTCTTCTTGATTGTAGGCTGACCAGTATGTTCTTTGTGGAGCTCCTCCCCTCCTATGGCTGGATTTCCTATTCTAGCCATGGGGAACTCTGGGGGAAGGGGGGAAGCAACGGTTGTGCAACGGAGGATGGCGGCTCGTGAACCTACTTGAGCTGTGGGTGGTAGGCTAGGCTTGGCGGCTAGAGGGACGATGTGGTGGTCTGGCTATGTAAGTTGTGCGGGGGGTTGTGTGGTTTTGGATGAAAATCATTAGCGAAATCCTTGGTTGGCCTTGGGTTGGCTTGATGACGGCAGCGCCCTTAGGCATCATTCCCCTCCTTGAAGGCGTCGTTATGGCGTTCTTTCTCCCCCCTACCAAGAACCCTACCCGTGCAATGATGGTCGTTGGTAGACTCCTACGTCGAAGCTCTGTAGGCCTAGCTATTCGGCAAGGCCTTCGCATTTTGGGTTTCAATCTTGGATGTGGCGAACGTCTAGCTTTCTTCGTTTTCTACTAGGTGAAGTCAGAGCTACTTCGTTGTGGTATGATGAAGCTTGGCAACACTAACACATTGTAGTCTTCTAGGGGTACTGGTGTTACTCGTAGGTAAAGTATTTTATACACCTAGGTACCATGGCACCTAGGTATATGCATGTAGTTTAAACAGCTATATAAACATGTGTCTAAAACTCTAAATTCGATACAGTAAAAAGTACTGTTAAGTACTGTAGTGATAGATCTCATCTAACCTGGCTCGTTTAATCTAACGGCTGAAAATAGCTAATGGTAGAGAGTACAGTCACTACTACAATAAAGATTTTTCCGTGCGGGTGGAATCAGTTTTCGCGTGCGGAGCTTTCACCCGTCTGGAACGAGGTGTCTGTAAAAATCCGATTTTTTCGTGCGGGTGATGCATCCTCACGCGAAAATCGCGATTTTCGTGTGGCGCCTATACGGGAAAATAAAAAATCAAAAAAAAAAATCAAAATCCAACCTTGAACCCTAATAAAAAATCAACACCGTGTTCGTCATCGTCGCCGCCGTCGTCCCCACGGTCGCCGGTGACGGATCCGGCCTCCCCGCGGTGGGCGGAGACGGATCTGCTCTGCCGCCACCACTGTAGCCGATGTGACCGCCGCATCCGCCACCACCGTAGCCGATGTCGCCACCGTACTCGCCGATGTAGCCGCCGCACCCACCGATGCCGCCGCCCTAGCCGAGGGTGCCGCTGTCGCCGAGGAGGAGAGGGAGAGGGAGGAGTGTGGGAGGATGAGACCGGGTGGAGGGACCCGCACTTATTTTCGTGGAGCGTAGCGCGTGACGACGGGGGGGGGGGGGGGGGGCTATTTTCGTGTGCGGGTTACTTAACATGCCCGCACGCGAAATTAGACTTATTTTTGTGACCCGCACATAAAAATTGATTTACCTGTGCGGGCGACTGCCCGGTACCGATCCCCCATTTTTCCGTGCGGTTTCACTTACGGTCCGCCAAAAAACAAAAGGGTCCGGCGTTCAGAAAAATCTTTCCAGTGGTAGTGTGTTGCTCTCGGCCTCGGCCATTCTAGTATGAATGGCAGAGGATACGTTACTGAATTGGAGTGGGTTGCTAACACATTCCCCAACGAAAATATATGCTTTCTCTCACAAGGGAAATAACAGTTATTATAGATGCGATTCACGTTGTTGACACACGCCTTCGAACAACCAGAGCATGGGCTCACGTACGTATACCCCACCAAACACAAACATGTGTGTACCAAAATTCATGAACGAGTGTCAAATCAAGAAGTAATCAGTTGCAAATCCTCGATCAGCTCTTATCTATACTATCAGGACTCCGTCCGCCGGAGAAGATTGACGCCCACAGACATTCAAATCAAGATGTACACACTCCATGATTCATCAACTTGGTACCGAAATCAACTACTCCTATTTTCTTCCATGGGGACGGGACAAAATTGGCCATCATTCATCAATGCTAGCTCGGAGAGTTCACAAGCGAAAAGGAGATCGACCCAGCCTAGTTGCTGTGTCTGAAAACACACACACCAATTGGGCATTTGGACTTGGCTGCTTTGCAGCATGACAGGGCAAATGGCAAATGGCCCACTTGTGCTGTGTATCATGCATTACAACTGTGCTCTTAAGGATGGAGAAAACACTAGGATAATTAGCTTGAGCCATATGCTTATCTCTTTAATCCTATTTAGTCCATATAAAAAAATATGAAAAATTTAAATGTATAAGATGGCTATATAAAATATATTAATTAATTAGCTCAACCTGGCCAATTTCTGGCTCTGCCACTACCTACTCCTTGACAAGTTTGTCCTCAATTTGATTTCAAGTCTAAAACCATTCCTTTCATTTCCAAAAAAAAAAAAAAGACCACTCCATTATTATGCTATATAAGCACCTCATAATACCTAGCAAACCTCTGCAGCAAGCAGCTATAGCTAAGCTCTGAGCTCCATGGCCATGAAGTGCCTCCTCGTCTTCTTCCTCGTCGCCTTCTTCCCCGGAGCCGCGGTCAGCGCCGGGCTGAAGGTCGGGTTCTACAACGAGACGTGCCCGTCGGCGGAGGCCCTGGTGCAGCAGGCGGTGGCCGCCGCCTTCAAGAACAACAGCGGCGTCGCCGCCGGCCTCATCCGTCTGCACTTCCATGACTGCTTTGTCAGAGTACGTTTGCATCTATCACGATCGATCCTAGTTTCGTTTATAACTGCACTGTTTGGTGTAAGAACAGCTAGCTAACCTTGGTTGATTTTGTTTTCTTTGTTCAAAAAGGGAAACTATTTTAAACTCTCGAGATGGCATTCCCTCATTATTTGCATGTCATCCAAATGATTAAGAAAAAAAATCAACCAGGTATATTAATATGTGATAAATTATTCCACAAATATGCAAGGTCAAATTTAACTTCTATAAGTTTGAATGAAAAAAATAAATTTGATTAAGAATATTCGTTAACTAGCCATAGTTTATTTTTTTATAACCTGTAAAAGTTAAATTTTAACTTGCATATTTGTGGAGTGATTTATTATATATTAATCTATCTTGTTAAATTTTTTTAAAAAAATTCATAACTATTTGGATAACATGTAAATAACTAGAGGATGTCCTCACGAGAGTTTAGAATCCACTCCCACACAAAAATGACAAACTCTAGCAGTGATAAAAAGAAAAGGTGTCAATTTTTCATATTATAGACGCTGTGTTCGGCAAAAGGAGTTGGGAACCCACTCCCTCTTTTTCCACGCACACGCTTTTCAAACGGTTAAACGGTGTATTTTTTTTAAAAAAAATTCTATATGAAAGTTACTTTAAAAAATCATAAAATCATATTTATCTTTTTTTTTAAAAAAAATAGCTAATACTTAATTAATCACGTGTTAATAGACCGCTCCGTTTTCCTTGCGGGAGAGATTAGTTCCCATCCCTGCTACTGAACACAGTTCAAGGGAGAGTTAGCTAAGATATATTTATGATCATATGTTATGAAAGATCGGCATATACGTACCGCTGTTTTTTTAAAAAAAACAGATCACCTGAAGAAACATTAGTGCTCTCTATTACAATCACTGTGTTAGAAACAAAATACAACCATGAATCAAAAAAATAAAAGGAACAGAAGAAGGTATTACCATACTCCCTCCGTCCCAAAATATAAAGAATTGGAGGGATATAACATAATATTCATACTAATAGGATATGTCATACCTCTCTAAAATCTCTAATATATATTAGAGTAGGTATAATAGGTAAATTTTTGCTGGCTATATTGGGTCCAAACTGAATAAAATACAGAGTTAGAGAAGAAATGAGTAGAAAGAGGGTCTGAGCGGGCGACTAATTACATACTAGTCGCCAGCTCCACACAGGCTCCAATTCAACAGTAGCAGCGCATGACCAGTTTCGGTTGAGCTCCAGTAGCTGCTCACTTCTCAAGGAAAAATGAGTGTACAGGAAAGCTTCAAAAGAAGAAAAAGTATAATAAAAAAATTAAGAAGGGACATACTAATAGCTCTCTTATTGTACACATACCACAGTTATTAGTTAATTAAATACTAATATAGATATTTTTAGAGCCATCAGTCGGCTATATTATTAAACTTGCTCTTATGAGATATATTCCTAGTACTAGGATATGTCATATGCCTCCAAAATCTTTTATATTATAGAACGGAGGGAGTACCACTTAAGAAAACACAAGCAGCTTTGCCAATTTTGATTGTACCATCATAGTAGTTAATCACTATCATTTCAGAAAAGCAAGCTCCATAAAAGATTGGTTCATTAATTTCCTGAGTTAAAAATCTGATACATTTCAGCATATTCCAATTTAGCCAGAAAGTAGTGGCCAAATTTAGAAGTTAATACTAATATCACACTCCACTTCTCGAAGTCTCAGTTTTTCCAACAATATAAGCAGCTCCAGAGGGCAGGCAAGCACCATTCACCAAGCCTGCTGAATAAATTTAAATAATCTATATACTCTTTTGTAAGCATATATTTGTCATACATAGAGTATAGCTGTTGCTGCTTTACCAAATCACAGCTTCCACCTATGACAATGATGATTAGAAACAGCAGAGCCAGCCAGTTGAGGAACGTAATCACTATTCAGCAATAGAAGTAAACCTGATCATAACTGTGATCAGATGCACGACAGCGGCGTCGTCGTCACTGACATGGATTGATAAGCAACTAGAGTCTTCCCTTTCGTTTGCCAACCCATGTGATTTTGGCCCCATAAATGCTGGGTCGGGTCGATGGGTCACTGGGTTGACCCAGCCCATGTGCATCCTAAGGCCTTATTTCTATTTAGTTTGGATGGAACTGAGGGAGATTGAATGAAAATAATTCCAGAAATGCTCAGGATCGGTCGATCGGAGGGAGGTTGAAAAATCGGTCGCTCTCTCTACCTCCCACGTGCGCACCCCACTGGACCTATCCACTTATCCCTCCCCTTTTTTAAAAAAAATGTTTCACCTAATGTATTTAGAATGTTTTATTATGTATAGATCTAATGTTGCAGTGAATTAAAATATTCTTATGCAACAAATTATCAATATATTTTGGAAACCCTCTATTAAGGGAATTCATTTCATTTTTTTTCACCAAAAATGTTTCACCTAGTTTAATCACAATGTTTCACTATGTATAGATCTAATGTTGCAGTGAACGAAACATTTCTTCTGCAACAAATCACCCACATATTTTAGAAACCCTCTATTAAGGTAATTCGTTTCAATTTTTGTTTCACAAAAATGTTTCACCTAGTGTACTCACAATATTTCACTATGTATAGATCTAATGTTGCAGTGAACTGAAACATTATTCGCTATTTGTTGAAACATTGTTTTTATATAAGGTGAAACAATGCCCGATTTAATTGATTGAAACATTTTCGATATACTTAGAGAAACAATTCCAATATACTTGGTGGAACATCGTGCAATATTTAAAAATAGGCAAATTTTGCTACAGGACAACGTGACTTCGCGAGGACACCGCACGGAATGACTTTTGGGGGAATACACTCTATAAATGTGGTAATTTGCCAGGGGACACCGCACCCATTAAAATAATAATTTTCGCTTGAAGGAGAGAGAAAAATAGCGTGAAATGTCAAGAATAACCTTGGACCCACGTGTCAGCTCTCCCATCTCTCTCCATGTGTCAACTCTCCCATCTCTCTTCTCTTTGTCCCCTCCTTCCTTCCCACGCTTCCCTGCGCCAGTCCGCAACCGCTCATCGATTCCTCACGCGCTCCAGCCCGCAGCCACCACCTCCCGCCGGACATCCGAGCGCCGTAGGTGGCTCCGGGTGTACGCCCTACCCCACCGCCTCTGACCGCCGGACAGCCAGGCGCCGCCACTGGTTCAGGGCGCGCGCGCCTGCCGGACATCCGAGCACCGCTGCCTCCTCGACGCTGGTAAATTAATCGAGATTCGCTATAGATGTTTCTCTCTCGTGGCAAGAGGATGGATAATCAAACAGACGTCCAAAATTAATAGCTCATAGGCTGACCATGGACAGCTGGACCATGACGAGCTCACATGTGAGCTCGAACACCTTGGCGGAGATGGCGAGCGCGCTCTTCTGTCCGTTCCGCGTCGCCTCGATGCTCACCTGGCAGTCCTTGGTCCACGCCATGAAGCTCACCATGCCGGCGATCTCCTCTAGCTTGGCGATGATGTCGGCCACCGACGCGCCGGACACGAAGCGCATCCTCTCGCCACGCTCCTGGAACAGCCCGGACATGTCGAAGCTCGGCGACGATGCAATGATGTCGAACCCGTTTAGGATCTTGGGCCGCGGCATGCGCGGACACAGTCGTGGCAGTACGCCTCCCCGACGTGGCGTCCCCTGCCGGTGGGCGTGGTGCCGAGGTAGGCGCGCGGAACACGTTGTTGGTCAGGTCGGCGAAGCGCGTCACCAGCTACCACCAGTGAGCCCTCCAGTGGCGCCACCCTGTCCGTATTGCCGACGAACCCATCTGTGGCATCGATGGAGGATATAGAGAGAGAAGAGAGATGGGAGAGCTGACATGTGGGTCTAGGGGTATTTCTGACATCTCACGTGGTTTTTCTCTCCTTCAAACGAAACCTATTATTTTAATGGGTGTGGTGTCTGCTGGCAAATTACCACGTTTATAGAGTGTATTCCCCAAAAGTCATTTTGTGCAGTGTCCTACGGCTAAAACCGCGAAGTCACGATGTCCTGTAGCAAAATTTGCCTTAAAAATAATTCAATAATAAGCTAAAAAAAATTTCGTCGAAATATATCCATGTGTGGTCTTGTTTTAAAGATTTAATTGCAACAAATTTAATTGTGCAATCGGATCATGATTTGGATAAATAATTTAAGAGAAAAATCAGTTTAAAGTGGTTTTGCATGTATGTGTGGCGTCAGCGCCCAATTTTTCCCAATCTGGATTGGGTGCCCGACGCGTAGGCCTACAATCTATAGAGGTGAAAACGGATAGGATATTATCCGATCCGATCTAAATCCATCCGAAAATGAGGGTATAGTATGGTTTCTTATAAATCCAACGGATATGGATACGGATTCGGATGCGGATATGATACCTTTAAAATTTGGCGGATGCGCCCATGTAACCACTCTATTTGTTGCATGTAACATGAGCTGGCAAAATAGAGTGCTTAGAAATGCGAGTTCATAGATTTAATGTCACGTCCGGAAATTCACTAATAATTTCTGAATTAATTTGTGCATAAAATCCTCGTCCAGGAATCAGCCGAGGTACACAAACTGATAATTTAATATACAAATCCATCATAATAATAACGTTACATACTTACAAAAGAAAAGAAAAACAGTAGCGGAATTAACGGTCTAGCGATGGCTTCAGCTCCACTCCCACAGGCAACTCAACTGGGGAATAAGCCAAACGTCTTCTCCTTCTGGATCCTTTTTCTTCAACTGAGGTTGATTGATTATTGCAAGAATGAGCATATGACATACTCAACAAGCTACACAGCAAATATGCAAGTGCACAAGGATACCAAAGGATAGCATAATATAGTCTCATTTGCGAAAGCAACATTTAGCAAAGAGTTAAAAGTAGTAAAACAGTAGAGTAATTAATCAGAAATTTTAATCAACACTGAACAGCACACCCATGCTGCACAGGCCCAACCATCCTGAACAACCATACCCGGCTGTACAGATTTAACTCTAAACCAGGAGCTAAACAAATTATTACCAGTTATAGCATCATTTATTATGGTGAGAAGTGTGAGACTAATCACGAAAGACATTGTTCGACCCCCCCATGACCGCGGGCACGGCTATTCGAATAGTTTTACTCTGACCAGAGGTGTACCACTGTACCCACAAGACACAACCCACCGTCATGTACTCATGTCACCGTGTCCGCGCAGACACGTCACCATGACGAGTGATTGTGACAAGACCCCTCGCATAACTCAACCCAAAGCAGTGCACCGTTCCTGGATCATAATCACCCCCTTATAAACAAGGCATGGACTCCCCAGCGACCCCCGTGGGCTTATCTCCGCCACTTCTCAGTCTGGTGCTCCGCAAAGAGCCTTGTTATACAAAGTGTCCAGGCGTTGCCCATTCTGGCTTGTGGTTGGCACGGTTAATGTTTCACAACCGAAAATCATGAACCGGTCCTTAATTGTCACGAGCACTACCATCAAAACCATGTGCTCACAACCCACCATTATCAAGTTTTAGTTGGCACATTAATTAATTAACCAATCACGATTAACCATCGTGAGCTATCATTAAATATCCATCATTAAGTAATAGTGAAACATTAGTTATCCCAATTGTGTGCTAATGTTTTTAAGCATGGCTATGCAATGATATCTAACATCTAGCTGAACCAATATATAAAGCTCAACTAGTCAAATTATAATAACCCAAGGTAATCAAGAAATAGGGTAATCAATGCAAATGGGCCATAACAAAGGAACATGTTCACACCACCCGGTGACATTCAAAAATAAATACACAGTTGAAATAAATAGAGAATTTAAATATAGGATCAACATGCTCAAAGGAATGGTGTTTAGGATCTGTGTGACTTGCCTTGCAATAACGGGTCTTCAATTAATCTTCTTGAACACTTCCGGCGCACTCGCGAACCTTCGAAACGACGGAAACGACAAGCTAACACGCAAAAAGAGGAAAAAGACTAATAAAAACCAAATAAACAATACATATAAAGTAAACAAACATGTAGAAAATAATTTTAGAGGAATTATGAGACTTGAACGGCCTCATTCTGACTTCATATGAATTTATTACGAATTTTACAAGATTAAATCTAATTAAAGCCTATTTAAAAAGGATTAAATAAATTTAATTCAATTTATGGATAATTTTAATATGTAGATCTTTATTTTATACAACTTTTGCAACTGGAACCACATTAAACTGAGTTACGACGAATTAGTTATGAATTTTTAAAGATTAAACCGGATTAAAGCATTTATATGGATTTTAATTGAATTATGACGCAATAATGAATTATTTTTAAAAAGGAAAAGGGAATTATTGCGTCATCGGCTAGGGTTCGCGGTGGACCGGGTGCACGACTGCGGCTCACGGAACGAACGGCCGAGATCATCTTGATCTACCGCGGTCCACGGGGAATGACATCGATGACGTCGGCGATGACGTCATCACCGGCGACGACCGGACGGCGCAAGCTCGCCGGCGAACTACGGCACGACAATGCTAACGAAGGGCACCAAAATGATGCGGGCGACGCGGCGAACTCACCGGTGACCAAAACAACGGCGGAAGATCAACGGACGGCGTCAGCGACGAGGAAGAAGCGGCGACGACCTTCGGCTTGACGACGACGGCGGTGCTCCAGCGATCTTCGGCGGAAACGGAGGGGTGGACGAGATCGGCGACGGCTTGGCGACCATGACGGTGACCTCCCCGAGCGACGACGACGACTGGAGCGACGACAACGCATGGCTGAACGAACAACGGCGACGGCGGTGCTAAGCGGCACGGTGCTAGAGCTCTACCGGCGACGAGAGACGAAGGCGAGGGTGGCGGCGGGTAGAGGAGGGCCTGGGGAACCTTTTATAGAGGCTAGGAGGCGGCGGCGAAGGCCCACGGCGACCGGCGACGCGAAGGAAAGGTTAGGGTTCGGGAGAGAGAGAGGAATCCGATTCGAGATCGAATCCGGCACTTTCCAAGCGATTTTAGCCGATGATACCAAAAGAGGAAAGATAGAGAAGATCTCGGGAAACATTTCCCCTCAAACGATTTCACCGGAGAAGGAAAGGCGCGGCCGAATTTGGAAGGAAACGGCGGCGGAGCAGCTAGGGTTTCGGCGCGGCGGCGGAGTGAGGTTGACGACGAGCCAGACAAGTGGGTCCCGCCTGTCAATGAAAGGAAGAGAGGAGGGAGAGGTGGCGGACTGGGCCGGCTTGGGCCGAGCACGCGCAGGCCGAGGAGAGGGAGAGAGACAGACTTGGGCTGACTTTCGGCCCAAAGCCAAAAGAGGATTTTAAAAACCTTTTTCCATTTAAATTATTCATGAAATGCAATTACATTGATTAAAAATACTTCCTTGGCTCAAATAAATCCCAGAAAAATCTAGGAACTATAGAAACAAAAGAAGTATTTAACAAAATTTTATCTAGCCCACTTTTATATTGAGATTTAACAAATTAAAATTAGATCTTCTCTTTTAGGCTTTTAAGATCATTTCTAATAATTCCTTTTAGACAACAATTTATAATTTAAGGATTTTTAAACAAGAAAAACACTTAACATAATTATAATTAGATCATTAAATGATTAACTAATTACTGAATTGTTCTTTGTATTATTAAAATTAGGAATTGAGCTCTGAAAAATCCGAGAAAATCTCAGAGAGTATAATTAATCATGGAGAATTTAATAAAAATTAAATCCATCCATGCTTTAAATTTAGGAAATTTTATTTCCCACATTTAAATTTACTTGTAAATTAATGAACATTTAATATAAATTCTTTTAATAATTTATTAAATTGTTTATAAATCCTGAAACAAAAATCAGGCTGTGACATTTAAACACCAGTAGTATATCCAAGCAATATAGTGGTTACCCGAAGACTATTTTGCCTGGATATTTGTAAAGAGTTCACAACAGAGATATGCTACGTGTTTGGATCCATTTTACCAAAAAAGTAGTTCAAAACGGTAAAACTTTTGCTATTTTGAAGGATCTAAACATGCCCGAAATGGTAAAGAGAAATAGGAAAAATATTCGTGAGATGCAACATTTCTATTATTTAAAAGAAAAGAAAGAAGAGAATTCTCAATTTCTGCCCAATGTCTGCAGGGCTGCGACGCCTCAGTTTTGATCAACGGGAGCACCACCGAGAGAAGCGCCGGCCCCAACGCGAGCCTCCGGGGCTTCGAGGTGATCGACGCCGCCAAGGCCGCCGTCGAGGCCGCGTGCCCGAGCACCGTCTCCTGTGCCGACATCCTCGCCTTCGCCGCCCGCGACGGCATCAAGCTCACCGGCAATGTCGACTACCAGGTCCCCGCCGGCCGCCGCGATGGCAACGTCTCCATCGCCCAGGACGCCCTCGACAACCTGCCCCCACCCACCGCCACGGCGAAGGAGCTCACCGACAAGTTCGCCAACAAGTCCCTCACCCTCGAGGACATGGTCGTCCTCTCCGGCGCCCACACCGTCGGCCGCTCCTTCTGCTCCTCCTTCCTCGACCGCATCTGGAACAACACCACCGCCATCGTACGTACATAGCTCGCCGGCGACGGCGAACTCTATCGATCGCCATTTGACCATTTCGCCATTGACGGCTCACATGGCGGCGGCCGGTGTGTTCGTGTGCAGGTGGACACGGGGCTGAGCCCGGGGTACGCGGCGCTTCTGAGGGCGCTGTGCCCGTCGAACGCGAACGCGTCGACGCCGATCACGACGGCGATCGACGTGAGCACGCCGGCGACGCTGGACAACAACTACTACAAGCTGCTGCCGCTCGACCTGGGGCTCTTCTTCTCCGACAACCAGCTGCGGGTGAACGCGACGATGAACGCGCTGGTGACACGGTTCGCGGCGAACGAAACGGAGTGGAAGCAGCGTTTCGCCGACGCCATGGTGAAGATGGGCAACATAGAGGTGCTGACTGGGGGAGCCGGCCAGATCAGGCTCAACTGCAACGTCGTCAACCCTTCGTCGTCGTCCTCGTCGCCGGTGGTCCAGCTGGCCGGCGAGGAGGAGGCCGCCGCCGCCGGCGCCGTCGCGGCGAGCTAGATGACCATATACACGTGTTAGCCGTTGGATGCGAATGCTCAATTCGATCGCGTCATTTTGATCGATTTCCTTTCCTTTTTGACGTGCACGAACATCTAAAGTTGCGTGGACTAGTAGTGTATATGGTCGTGTCGATCTTTTCGTATACGTAACGTACAGTAGTGCAACTGTACACGTACTGTACTGTACATACATTTTGCATATTGTGCGTGTAATCTTCGAATGTTTTAGTCGGTTTTCCAGTGATGGATAATAATATAGGAAATAATAAGTACGTACACGTATACGTACCATTTGTGTTATTATTAATCGTGCTACTAAATACTTGTCCTGTTTGCACTACACCCATCTTCTGCCTGACAATCAAGAAGCCCATGATTAAATCTTGACCATTGAATACCGTCTGCGTCGATGGGCCATAACGGGGTTGCGATGGACATGCGGCCCATTATATTTGGGCTTGAAAGATGGCTTACATGCGGGCCGTACACATACTACCTCCATTTCATAGCGTATTTCGTTTTCGTTTTGATTTCTTTTTCTAGCCAAATTTCTTTAAGTTTGATCAATTTTATATAAAAATATAGTAATACTTTTATAGAATTACTATTAGGAGTGCAGCACGCTCCTAATATTCTAAGCGCCAAACATGCATCAGCCCAGGCCCACCCCACCCCATGTCCCGTCATCCCACTCCTACCGTTTTCGGAGTAAACGATTTACTCCTATCGCGCGCCTCAACCACCCATCTTTATTCGAGTGAACGATTTACTTCGATAATAAAAACAATTCCCCCGCTTTCGATCCCACACCACGTCCCGCATCGTGCTCCCACCATTATCAGAGTAAATGATTTACTCCGATAAAAACAACTTCTCTGCTTCCGGTATATATTCTATTTTTCCCGTACACCACTCTCGCCCCCACTTCATTTTTTTCCTTTTTTTCGGATCTGAATCGATCCACCATCCCAGCCCACAGATTAGCGACACACCATGGAGGAGGACGACGACAACGTGTTAGTTGATACCGGTGGCCGGCGAGCGGTGGTCGGTGGTGGTTGAGGCGAAGGCACTGCTTCGGGCCTCGCTGCCGGACGCTGGGTAGCACCTTAACCGGTAAGGAGGTGTTTACCTGGGCCAATAGCAACAACCAGCGACTGCTCCACATCGGCGACATTCATAGAACAAGCAAGTAAGAAATGACACTCTGATTTGTGTAAAATCAAAGGTGTTTTTTATTATTATTCTGTGATAAACAATTGGGAATTGGAGATTATTGGTTTTGTTATTTGGAATCTATTCACAAAGTGGTTTTGGAGATGATTGGATTTCACAAGTGATCGCAGGATTTGTCATTTTATGTGACCGGTCAGACCGGGCTCTGGTAGCCGGTCAGACCGGCGTGTAATGCGCAGTCAGACCGGCGCAGCCCATGGTCTGACCGGCGCAGCCCACGGTCTGATCGGCCGACACTGTGTCGGTTTCGGTTTTGGGTTGTTTATTTGGATATCCGAGTTTATTTCATGATTATGACTTCTAGATGGATACTATACGTATGTAATACTATTGTTTGCTGCTAATGAGTCAAGTTGGAGATAGCTTGGTCTCGGAATATGGTTTCTTTATTTGTTCCATGTGTAGGTGACTCGATGTCTCGGGAGAGTATTTGCGGTGATGGACCGGGAGTCGGCTTGGGGATAAGACGACGTTCGTGGTGGTCAGAGATCATGCGGGATACTTAGGCTAGAGTTAATGCATGTGGTTGATGGAGATTCCATATGGCATACGATGGAGGAATTGTGTGCGTGTGGAATGCGGAGTTGAATTTGGAAGGAGTCCAAATTTGGTACGATTGGTTATGTAAAGTTTCTTTCTTGTACTAGAGGGTTTCCTAAGGTGTTTAGGACTCCTAGTATGAGTTTGGTTCATGGCTTTAGGCTGCCTACCTCATTTATAAATAGAGGGGGAGCGTGAGGCTTCCCGGTATCGCTTTAGAGAGCAATTGAGTTGAGTTTTGAGTTAGGGTTTCGAGTTTAGTCGAAATTTTTGTAAGGAGTGCTATTGGTGCACTTTGTAAACATAGAGAGAATCAATGAAGTTGTCATCCACTTTAAGAGTTCTTCGATTTGTGTTTACCGGGTTTCGGCGGTCTAACCGGCGATCAACCGGCGGTCAGACCGGCGGTAAGCGGCGGTCAGACCGGCGGCGGCGACAGTGAGCGGCAGCTGATCTCGGCGGTCGGACTAGAGATCTAATCTCGGTCAGATCGACGGCAACCAGGTGGTCAGACCGGCAGGACAGCTTCAGTCAGACTGCGATCCGTCGATTTCGAGGGTAACTTTTATTTCCGCTAAAAGTTTTCGGTTTTTGGGTATACCAACCATTCACCCCCCCTCTAGTTGGCTTAGTTCTTGTGATTCGATCCTACAAGTGGTATCAGAGCCTTGTTTTCTTCTTTGGATTTTTATCGATCTAGAGTTTTTGCCATGGCTACTCCCGCTAAGTTTTCAACTAAGTCTCATGTTTTCGATGGAACGGATTTTTCTCATTGGTGTAGTAGGATGCAATCTTATATTGTGGCTGAAGATTATGATATTTGGAGAAAAGTTTCTCATACTTATGTGATTCCTTAAGCTATTAATACTGCTGCTGAAAAAACTGCTTTTGAACAAAATTGCAAAGCTCGCAACATTCTTTTGAGTGGTATTTGTCGTTCGGATTATGATCGTGTTGCTCATCTTCAAACTGCTCATGAGATTTGGGTTGCTTTGAGTTATTTTCATCAAAGAGCTTCGTCGTGATCTTTTCAAAAAGGAGTATATTAAATTTGAGATGAAACCTGGAGAAGCTTTGGATGACTATCTTTCTCGGTTTAATAAAATTTTGAGTGATCTTAGATCTGTTGATTCTTCTTATGATGCTAATTATCCACAATCCGAGATTTCTCACCACTTTTTTAATGGTCTTGACATGTCTATTTGGGAGATGAAAGTTATATCTATTCAAGAGTCAGTTAACATGTCTACTTTGACTTTGGATTCACTTTATACAAAATTAAAAACACATGAGATGAATGTTCTTTCTCGAAAAGTTGATTCTAAGTCGAATGCTTTGGTTTCTTCTTCTTCCTCTTTGGATGTTTATGCTTCTTCATCAAAGTCGTCTTTTCTTGTTGTTTTTAATGCCACATCCGATGATCAACTCGAACAAATCGAGGAGGAGGATTTGGCTTTGGTCGCTAACAGAATTGCTCGAGCTATGAATAATGCCAGGAACAGGAAAAGAGGTGGTCCAAATCGTTGCTTTGAATGTGGTTCAATTGATCATCTTCGTTCGCATTGTCCTAAGCTTGGGAGAGGCAAAAGAGAAGACAAAGATGGTGAGAAGACCAACAACAACAAGCCCAACAACAATAAGCCAAAGGGTTCTTACCAAGGGAGGAAGATGGAGAATCTTAGGAAAGCTTTTCAACAAGTTTGCGCCGCCTTCGAGCCACTAAGTGATGTAGATGGTGAAAGTGGAGATGATGATAAGGGAAATAACGTCTCCGATGTTTGCTTTACGGCGCGTGGTGAAGTGTGAGATGATGATACAGAGTATGAAGATAATGAGGTGAGTGCTTTTAAGGAAGCTATTAATATTTTGAGTGCAAAAAATAAGAAGTGTGAGAAGATGTATAGAAAACAGGAATTTATCATTGAATCTCTTAAATCTGAAATTGATAGGTTAAAATCTCTTATTCCTAATGATGATGATTGTGAAAATTGTTAGGTTTTAATGAATGAGATTTCAAAAATTAGTGATGTTAATGCTGCACATGATTTGAAAAATAGATCCTCTCTTGCTTGTAGTTTTGCTTTGCACACACGCACTTTGGATGAGTTGTTTTTAACTAAAAAATTGTTGCAAAAATATCAAATTGCTTTTCATGCTAGTTTGATGTTTAATATGATTTCTGCTAAAAAGTTAAAACAACCTCATAATGTTTTGGATTGCTCAACATGTAATTTGAATAAGATGAAACTAAAAGATGCTTTAGGTCGTGTTGAGTTCATGGAAGATGTTGTGAAAAACAATGAAGTGCTTTCTTGCCCTAAATGTCATAAAAGCAAAGGTGTCATGGTAGATTGTGAAAATTGTGCTAATTTGGAAAAAGAGGTTTCTTATTTGAAAAATTATTTGCTAAGATTTTTTGATGGTAAAAAGAACCTCAACATGATTTTGGATCAATCAAAGGTTAGCACACATAACCGTGGTTTAGGTTTTAATCCTTATGCTCATAATTCTAGACATCCTCCTGTTGTGTTAGGTGTTGGTGCTAGAAGTGGTGAGATTTTGGTTAAACCTGATGCTAACAAAACTTTGTTTAAATATGCTGGTATCATGTCTACTATGAGTGCATCTTCTTCAAAATCCAATGTTGTGCATGCAAAATCTCCTGTTGTTGCTCATGTTGCTAAATCTACTAATGCTAACAATGTGTCTAATCATCGTGAAAAATATACTTGTTCTTTTTGTGGAAAAGATGGACATATTGTTGGTTTTTATTTCAGATTAGCTCATAAATAGAAAAAGGAGAGAGAAATTGCTTTTGCAAAATCAAAGTGGCAAAAATCGGGTTTTTCCTCGAGGAAACCTGTCAGACCGCAGTGGGTCCCGCGGTCGGACCGGCGACCGGTCAGACCGGCTGAACAGCCTCAGTCAGACCGACCACCGGTCAGACCGGCGGTACAGAAGCGGTCAGACCGGCCACTGTACCTCGGTCAGACCAGCCTCGGAGGAATTTTTCTGAAAATTCTAAAATTGATTTTGCACGTGGATATATGCCTATTGGATCTTCTGGTCGTGTGTTTCAGTACTGGATTCCTAAATTTTTATTATCATCTAACCCCAGTACTGAGGCTTCGACTTCTGCTTGTGTGTAGGCTTTGGTAACAAGGAAGGAGAATGTGTGGATCGTGGATTCCGGTTGTTCGTGGCACATGACCGGTGATAAAAATTGGTTCTCCTCCCTAAAGAAGGCATCTAAGACTGAATCGATTATCTTTGGTGATGCTGCTACAAGTGTCGTTTTCGCTACAGGTATGGTTAAGGTAAATGAAAAATTTGAATTGAAGAATGTAGCTTTGGTTGAGGATTTAAAGTACAATTTGCTTTCGGTTTCACAAATTGTTGATGAAGAGTTTGAAGTTCACTTTAAGAAAACTGGAAGTAAAGTTTTTGATTCTCGTGGTGATTCTGTGCTGAATATTTCTCGTTATGGAAGAGTGTTTAAAGCTGATTTTGAAAATCCTGTTTCACCT